TGATGAAGACTGAATCACGAAGAGTTAGAAATCATGTGCGATCATGTGTTATTTCTAATTACTTTAAAGCAGGCTTGTCCAAACTAAGGCCCCTTTTCGAGATCATTAATGCAAGTTCACAGTGTCATCCAGCCAACTTCAGCTCAATCAAAATACCTTGTTGTAAAGCTCAGATTCTCAAATATTCAGCCGTAGAATGTATGTGTACATTACAGTTAGGGTTAGTTAGGGTGAAAAGCAGCGGTTTTGGTACTTATATGATTTGATTTTCCAAAAAAATTCACACACAAAAAGAACCACAGATTTGTTTTAATGAAAGCAAACAATAAGTAATCAAATGTATTATTGTTTTAGGTAGTGAGATTCTGGAAACAAATGTAATGAGTAATTCTAATGGATTGACTAGAGTCCAATTTACAGACAGTGCATTTGAATATTTAAGTCTTTGCTAGTTTCTGTTTGAAATCGCAATTTCTACTTGATTTTGATAGACCGCCCTAAACTGTTGACAAGGAAACAAAGGCTAAAACAAGCTAAATTCAGCTAAAGTCTCTCTCCGTGGGCATATCGTGTCAGCCATTGTCTTGTCAAGTGCATTGATTCAAAAATTGTGCAGAAGATTCAGAAAATCGCTTGAAAAACAACAATTTAGTTTTCCTTGGAGTTGGATAAAAGTGTCTATTCCCTGTTAAAGAAGATTCAAAACGGTAAAAACAAAATAAGTGTTAAAATCACAACAATTGACCATTTTTACTTAACTGTTGAACAAGTAGAAGAGAGGGGCGGAGCTGTCAACCGATCATCACCTGGTCGTGAGTTGGATCCGCTGGCAGGGCAGGAGGCCGGTCAGACCTGGCAGGCCCAAGCGTGTAGTGAGGGTTTGCTGGGAACGTCTTGCTGAGCCCCCTGTCAGACGGACTTTCAACTCACACCTCCGGGAGAGCTTCTCCCAGGTCCCGGCGGAGGAGGGGGACATCGAGTCCGAGTGGACCATGTTCTCTTCCTCTATTGCCGATGCGGCGGCTCGCAGCTGTGGTCGCAGGGTCTCTGGTGCTGGTCCCGGCGGCAACCCCCGAACCCGGTGGTGGACACCGGCAGTAAGGGATGCCGTCAGGCTGAAGAAGGAGTCCTATCGAGCAATGATGGTTCGTGGGACTCCTGAGGCAGCTGTCCAGTACCGGCAGGCCAAACGTGCCGCGGCCCGGGCTGTTGCAGAGGCAAAAACCCGGGACTGGGAGGAGTTCGGAGAGTCCATGGAGCATGACTATCGGTCGGCCTCGAAGAGGTTCTGGCAAACCGTCCGGCGCCTCAGGAGGGGGAAGCAGTTCTTTGCCAACACCGTGTATGGTGCGGGTGGAGGGCTGCTGACCTCGACTGGGGATATTGTCGGGCGGTGGAAGGAATACTTCGAGGTTCTCCTCAATCCCCCCGTCACGTCCTCCGTTACAGAGGCAGAGGCTGAGGATGTTGGGGCGGACACTTCCATCTCCCTGGCTGAGGTCACCAAGGTGGTTGGCAGCCTCCATGGTGGCAAGGCGCCGGGAGTGGATGAGATCCGTCCTGACTATCTAAAGTCTCTGGATGTTGTAGGACTGTCTTGGCTGACACGTCTCTGCAGCATCGCGTGGCGATCGGGGGCGGTGCCAATGGAGTGGCAGACCGGGGTGGTGGTCCCTCTCTACAAGAAGGGGGACCGGAGGGTGTGTTCCAATTATCGTGGGATCACACTCCTCAGCCTCCCCGGTAAGGTCTACTCCAAGGTACTAGAGAGGAGGCTACGTCCGATGGTCGAATCTCGGATCCAGGAGGAGCAGTGTGGTTTTCGTCCCGGTCGCGGAACACTGGACCAGCTCTATACTCTCCATCGGATACTCGAGGGTTCATGGGAGTTCGCCCAACCTGTCCACATGTGCTTTGTGGATTTGGAGAAGGCGTTCGACCGTGTTCCCCGGGGTGTCCTTTGGGGGGTCCTCCGGGAGTACGGGGTCCGGGGTCCTCTGCTGAGGGCTGTTCGGTCCCTGTATGACCGGAGCCAGAGCTGTGTTCGCATTGCCGGCAGTAAGTCAGACCTGTTCCCGGTGCATGTTGGCCTCCGCCAAGGCTGCCCTTTGTCACCGGTTTTGTTCACTGTATTTATGGACAGAATTTCTAGGCGCAGCCAGGGGCCGGAGGGGGTCCGGTTCGGGAACCACAGGATTTCATCTCTACTTTTTGCGGATGATGTCGTCCTGCTGGCTCCAACGAACCAGGACCTGCAGCATGCACTGGGACGGTTTGCAGCCGAGTGTGAAGCGGCTGGGATGAGAATCAGTACCTCCAAATCCGAGGCCATGGTGCTCGACCGGAAAAAGGTGCCTTGCCCTCTCCAGGTGGGTGGAGAGGTCCTTCCTCAAGTGGAGGAGTTCAAGTATCTCGGGGTCTTGTTCACGAGTGAGGGAAGAATGGAGCGTGAGATTGACAGGCGGATCGGTGCAGCGTGCGCAGTGATGCGGTCGCTGTATCGGACCGTTGTGGTAAAGAGGGTCAATCTTCGTTCCCTCCCTCACCTATGGTCATGAGCTTTGGGTAATGACCGAAAGAACGAGATCGCGGATACAAGCGGTCGAAATGAGCTTCCTCCGCAGAGTGGCTGGGCGCTCCCTTAGAGATAGGGTGAGGAGCTCAGTCACACGGGAGGAGCTCGGAGTAGAGCCGCTGCTTCTTCACGTCGAGAGGAACCAGTTGAGGTGGCTCGGGCATCTGTTCAGGATGCCTCCTGGACGCCTCCCTGGGGAGGTGTTCCGGGCACGTCCCACCGGGAGGAGGCCCCGGGGAAGACCCAGGACACGCTGGAGGGACTATGTCTCTCAGCTGGCCTGGGAACGCCTTGGGGTCCCCCCAGACGAGCTGGAGGAGGTGTGTGTGGATAGGGAAGTCTGGGCGTCTCTGCTTAGACTGCTGCCCCCGCGACCCGGCAACGGATAAAGCGGAAGAAAATGGATGGATGGATGTTGAACAAGTAGATGGGTTAGATTTTTGATTAAATTAGAAGCCGCTTTCATATGTTATTTGTACACATGAAGTCGAGGCAAAAGAAACTAATTATGTGGCACAATAGAGACCGAATAATAACAGCAAGTTTGAGTTTGGACACAATAGACCAAAAAGAAAAACGGCTCCACTTAAAATGTTCTGCTCTGGAGTCATTCTCAGTTAAATAATCTAATTTATTATACTAAGTCAGGATTTGTTGATAAAGTCTTGCTTCTTCCTCGCGCTAAAGTTGGAGATTTTAGACTTCTTTATTAAGCTAAATATAGAGGTTTCACACTGCTTCTTTTTATGCTAGGGCTTGAGATTTTATTTTAGTTTAGCGTTATTATTAATTTATCTTGTGCAGTGTGCTCCTCATTCCTGCTGTTCTGTTACTGCTGATGCAACACTGACATTTCCCCGCTGTGGAACAATACAAAATCTCTTAATCTTAAAAATTACAGTTACAGTGAATACAATGGGAATATTATGAGACAAGGTCAGTTACAAGAAAATACCTACAGCTGGACTAATGTGATTGTGTGATTAAAACAGACACGCAGCTCACAGACACGCAGTTCACAGGCAGACACGCAGCTCACAGACACGCAGCTCACAGACACGCAGCTCACAGACACGCAGCTCACAGACACGCAGCTCACAGACAGACACGCAGCTCACAGACAGACACGCAGCTCACAGACACACAGCTCACAGACACGCAGCTCACAGACACACAGCTCACAGACACGCAGCTCACAGACACGCAGCTCACAGACACGCAGCTCACAGACAGACACGCAGCTCACAGACAGACACGCAGCTCACAGACACACAGCTCACAGACACGCAGCTCACAGACACGCAGCTCACAGACACGCAGCTCACAGACACGCAGCTCACAGACACGCAGCTCACAGACACACAGCTCACAGACACGCAGCTCACACACAGACACACAGCTCACAGACACACAGCTCACAGACACGCAGCTCACAGACACGCAGCTCACAGACACGCAGCTCACACACAGACACACAGCTCACAGACACGCAGCTCACAGACACATAGCTCACAGACACGCAGCTCACAGACACTGCCTCCCACTCCTGAGCTGTTGGCTTCTGTGACATAAGACTTCCCCCAATCCTGAAACATGCATCTGTTTAATGAACCGAGCAAGACTGTTTGTTATTTGTTTTTTTCCTTCTGAATCCATCGGCTTAACTGTAGAAATAGAACAGCCTTTATTATCCCTGGACGTATAGTCACAGTGACTGAGTGGGGCTCGTGCCTCGCAGCGAGAAAAGTCTCTGTTTGAAAATGGGCTTGGTTGAGATTTCCTCCTGGTGCTGCTGTGTCCCTCGCCACCGTGAAGTACCCCAGCTTTAAAGCTACTTTGTGTAACTTTTTGCAGTTGCTCAAATGAAAAAAACATGTTAACCAATAATGAATGCGACCTTTCTAAGAACATTTACTCCCAACATGTTTTTGAATTGTTGACATAGACCTAGATCATAAATGTCCATGAGAGCTGAGGACTCTCCATGTCAATGCGACATTTTGAAATACAGTAATAATGATAAATAATAATTATACATCAAACTTATATTTTTTTGGACACTCAAAGACGCTTTACAAAACAGGTGTAAATAAATATTGAGAAACAAAATCAGGGAAAGGCTGAAACGGGTGGTTTTGAGAAGAGATTTAAAGTTTCTGACGAGTTGAGGGAGTTCCAGAGAGTGGGGGCAGCTGTGGTTCCAGTGTGATTTTGATATTGTGGGATACTGTGGGAAGAAGTATGTTTTAGAAATGCAGTCAAACATGTCTGAATGTCATGGCATCACCAAGAATGTCACATCTCAGTATCCTTTTAACTTTGTGGTGGAGGATAGATTAAGGCCTTACTAAATCAAAAAGTCAACAAAAACTACCCAAAAGACACGTTTTTACCCCGGCCGTTTTTGACTCAAGTTGACACAAACTCATTTCCAATCGAGACCGTACAGTTCATGGTTTCTGAACATGGGCCACATTCTTAGCGTGGCCAGCTTCACCCACTGCTTTTCAGCTTGAGCTAAGTCTGAACAGACAGAGTTTTCCGAAATGTCAGGATGATAAATTCTGCCAGGGCATGTAAACTTTTGCCGCTCAGCAGATTCAGCCAAACACAGCAATGCATAATGGGACTTTAGGAAAAAGAAGAAAACAAATATCAATAGCAGTCTGACATCCCGTAAGTATATTTTAATAAGATTAAGATTCATTCATTTGTCCCACAGTCGGGAAATTTCAGTGTTGCATCACTGATTACAGAACAGTAGGAATGAGAAGCACACAGCACAAAATAAATTAATAATAACTCTATGATAAAATAAAACACATTCCTTCTAGCTTTAGCATAATAATGAGGCAGGTCTAAAATCTCCAACTGTTGCAAAACTTTAGCATAATAGTGAAGCAAGTAGAAAATACTGTATATTCTAAAGCAGGGGTCTATATCTCCCCTGTCCAGGTATCTCGCCGAAGGATTTAGAAATGAACAAATCAAATAATATACTTACTATTTCAGATTGTATTATTCATTATCATTATTTATTATTGTAAATGCTCTGACTTTGTGCACTGCTAACAAATGTGCAACGATAAATAATGACTTTACCCAATATCAGGCTCGTTCACACCAATATATCACCATTTTTTCCCCAGGGAGTAGCTCTTTACCTTTATCGTCCCGGGAAAGTAACTCTCTTGGTGAAAAAGGTTGAAGACATCTGTTCTAGAATAAACAGATGAATAAATATAAAGTTATATGTAAAAGTGACTCAGTAAAATGACAGTGGACTCCTTATACTACATCCTACCGACAGTCTTAATGTTATTGTTCTGCGTACATTGTTAGCATGTAGCATCCTAGTGTAAAAAAACACGCCTGTAAGCGTCGGATGTCTTTAACATATCTGACACCGTGGCGCTCACCGAAGCACACGGCCGAGACCTCCAGCCGCGGTCGTGTTTGCACAATCAGGACCGAGCCTCTGTGTCTGCACCAAGGTGAAGGCATGCAAAGACAATTAGTCACCTGGGAGCCACCAACGGAGGGCTGCGTACGATTGCGATTCGAGGTCACGTAAAAAAAGCAGAGAAATTAGCATAGACCGGACAATCAGCAGAAAGCTAATGCTCCTCACTTTGATCTCTGGCAGGTTGCATCCTCAGCATTCTCTATTATACGTCTACTGCACTCGGCGCCATCTGCCCCGATCTCATTAGAACACATGCGCAACAATATCGCTCCATTTTTTACAACGTAAGAGATTTCTTTTTGTTTTTTTCCCCAGCTCTTGAAACGCAGAACAATCACCTTTTGGTAATGTTAAGAGCTTGGCGATTCAAATGGGACAAGGCACTGCTTTCCAGAGGCTGGTATTTCCTGCTCGAATGGAAATGTAAGGTCGGCCTGCTCTTGAAAATAGTCAAAGAAAGTTGTACAGAAAGTATGTTTTAGAGGACAAAGAATGTGTATCTTATCTGCTGACAGTTTGATGACATTGAGGTAAAATGTAAAACAGAATCGGAACTATTTGTTTTGCCTTTGTAAGTAACAGGAAGCCACAAACTAGGAATTTTCTTTGGCACATGTTGTACAGTACAGTAGACCCTCACATGGTTCACCGTTTGCGACGTCGCTGTTTTGCAGATTTTTGTGTGTGCAATTTTGTGTACTCTTTTACAGTTTGCTTCTCTTCAGAATAAAAGACTTTATATCCACTAGTATAACATGACATTTATCTTTATTTGAGTGGCTGCATAGACTATGCAGCCACTATATCTTCTTCTTCTTCTTCTTCTTCTTCTTCTTCTTCTTCGTCTTCGTCTTCGTCCAGATTTTGGCACTTTTCACCGTCTCATTATTGCTATTATTTTTCACACTTCCACCTTTTGCACTTTTTCAAATATTTACAAAAGTTCAAGCACTTTTTCCCATTGACTTACATTGGACCAGTACAACAGACTAGAAATGGTACAATGGCTGAAGCCATTATGAGTGGCTGCATAGATGTTGGAAGGGTTAGGGATGAAGAGGAAGAAGGAGGAAGAAAAGGTTGTGGGAGTTGATGGTTGATGGAGTTGATGGTTGATGGAGTTGATGGTTGATGGAGTTGATGGTTGTGGGAGTTGATGGTTGTGGGAGTTGATGGTTGATGGAGTTGATGGTTGTGGGAGTTGATGGTTGATGGAGTTGATGGTTGTGGGAGTTGATGGTTGATGGAGTTGATGGTTGTGGGAGTTGATGGTTGTGGGAGTTGATGGTTGATGGAGTTGATGGTTGTGGGAGTTGATGGTTGTGGGAGTTGATGGTTGATGGAGTTGATGGTTGTGGGAGTTGATGGTTGATGGAGTTGATGGTTGTGGGAGTTGATGGAGTTGATGGTTGTGGGAGTTGATGGTTGATGGAGTTGATGGTTGTGGGAGTTGATGGTTGTGGGAGTTGATGGTTGATGGAGTTGATGGTTGATGGAGTTGATGGTTGTGGGAGTTTATGGTTGATGGAGTTGATGGTTGTGGGAGTTGATGGTTGTGGGAGTTGATGGTTGATGGAGTTGATGGTTGTGGGAGTTGATGGTTGATGGAGTTGATGGTTGTGGGAGTTGATGGTTGATGGAGTTGATGGTTGTGGGAGTTGATGGTTGTGGGAGTTGATGGTTGATGGAGTTGATGGTTGTGGGAGTTGATGGTTGATGGAGTTGATGGTTGTGGGAGTTGATGGAGTTGATGGTTGTGGGAGTTGATGGTTGATGGAGTTGATGGTTGTGGGAGTTGATGGTTGATGGAGTTGATGGTTGTGGGAGTTGATGGAGTTGATGGTTGTGGGAGTTGATGGTTGTGGGAGTTGATGGTTGTGGGAGTTGATGGTTGATGGAGTTGATGGTTGTGGGAGTTGATGGTTGTGGGAGTTGATGGTTGTGGGAGTTGATGGTTGATGGAGTTGATGGTTGTGGGAGTTGATGGTTGATGGAGTTGATGGTTGTGGGAGTTGATGGAGTTGATGGTTGATGGAGTTGATGGTTGTGGGAGTTGATGGTTGATGGAGTTGATGGTTGTGGGAGTTGATGGTTGATGGAGTTGATGGTGGATGGAGTTCATGGTTGTGGGAGTTGATGGTTGATGGAGTTCATGCTTGTGGGAGTTGATGGTTGTGGGAGTTGATGGTTGATGGAGTTCATGGTTGTGGGAGTTGATGGTTGTGGGAGTTGATGGTTGATGGAGTTGATGGTTGTGGGAGTTGATGGTTGTGGGAGTTGATGGTTGTGGGAGTTGATGGTTGTGGGAGTTGATGGTTGATGGAGTTAATGGTTGTGGGAGTTGATGGTTGATGGAGTTGATGGTTGTGGGAGTTGATGGAGTTGATGGTTGTGGGAGTTGATGGTTGATGGAGTTGATGGTTTTGGGAGTTGATGGTTGTGGGAGTTGATGGTTGATGGAGTTGATGGTTGTGGGAGTTGATGGAGTTGATGGTTGTGGGAGTTGATGGTTGTGGGAGTTGATGGTTGATGGAGTTGATGGTTGTGGGAGTTGATGGTTGTGGGAGTTGATGGTTGATGGAGTTGATGGTTGTGGGAGTTGATGGAGTTGATGGTTGTGGGAGTTGATGGTTGTGGGAGTTGATGGTTGATGGAGTTGATGGTTGTGGGAGTTGATGGTTGATGGAGTTGATGGTTGTGGGAGTTGATGGAGTTGATGGTTGTGGGAGTTGATGGTTGATGGAGTTGATGGTGGATGGAGTTCATGGTTGTGGGAGTTGATGGTTGATGGAGTTCATGCTTGTGGGAGTTGATGGTTGTGGGAGTTGATGGTTGTGGGAGTTGATGGTTGATGGAGTTCATGGTTGTGGGAGTTGATGGTTGTGGGAGTTGATGGAGTTGATGGTTGATGGAGTTGATGGTTGTGGGAGTTGATGGTTGTGGGAGTTGATGGAGTTCATGGTTGTGGGAGTTGATGGTTGATGGAGTTCATGGTTGTGGGAGTTGATGGTTGATGGAGTTGATGGTTGATGGAGTTTATGGTTGTGGGAGTTGATGGTTGATGGAGTTGATGGTTGTGGGATTTGATGGTTGATGGAGTTGATGGTTGATGGAGTTGATGGTTGTGGGAGTTGATGGTTGATGGAGTTGATGGTTGTGGGAGTTGATGGTTGATGGAGTTCATGCTTGTGGGAGTTGATGGTTGTGGGAGTTGATGGTTGATGGAGTTCATGGTTGTGGGAGTTGATGGTTGTGGGAGTTGATGGAGTTGATGGTTGATGGAGTTGATGGTTGTGGGAGTTGATGGTTGTGGGAGTTGATGGAGTTCATGGTTGTGGGAGTTGATGGTTGATGGAGTTCATGGTTGTGGGAGTTGATGGTTGATGGAGTTGATGGTTGATGGAGTTTATGGTTGTGGGAGTTGATGGTTGATGGAGTTGATGGTTGTGGGATTTGATGGTTGATGGAGTTGATGGTTGTGGGAGTTGATGGTTGATGGAGTTGATGGTTGTGGGAGTTGATGGAGTTGATGGTTGATGGAGTTGATGGTTGATGGAGTTGATGGTTGTGGGAGTTGATGGTTGTGGGAGTTGATGGTTGATGGAGTTCGTGGTTGTGGGAGTTGATGGTTGTTGGAGTTGATGGTTGTGGGAGTTGATGGTTGTGGGAGTTGATGGTTGATGGAGTTGATGGTTGTGGGAGTTGATGGTTGTGGGAGTTGATGGTTGATGGAGTTCATGGTTGTGGGAGTTGATGGAGTTGATGGTTGTGGGAGTTGATGGTTGATGGAGTTGATGGTTGTGGGAGTTGATGGTTGATGGAGTTGATGGTTGTGGGAGTTGATGGTTGTGGGAGTTGATGGTTGATGGAGTTGATGGTTGTGGGAGTTCATGGTTGTGGGAGTTGATGGAGTTGATGGTTGTGGGAGTTGATGGTTGATGGAGTTGATGGTTGTGGGAGTTGATGGTTGATGGAGTTGATGGTTGATGGAGTTCATGGTTGTGGGAGTTGATGGTTGATGGAGTTCATGGTTGTGGGAGTTGATGGTTGATGGAGTTGATGGTTGATGGAGTTGATGGTTGTGGGAGTTGATGGTTGATGGAGTTGATGGTTGTGGGAGTTGATGGTTGATGGAGTTGATGGTTGTGGGAGTCGATGGTTGATGGAGTTCATGGTTGTGGGAGTTGATGGTTGATGGAGTTGATGGTTGTGGGAGTTGATGGTTGATGGAGTTGATGGTTGTGGGAGTTGATGGTTGATGGAGTTGATGGTTGTGGGAGTTGATGGTTGATGGAGTTCATGGTTGTGGGAGTTGATGGTTGTGGGAGTTGATGGTTGTGGGAGTTGATGGTTGATGGAGTTCATGGTTGTGGGAGTTGATGGTTGTGGGAGTTGATGGTTGATGGAGTTGATGGTTGATGGAGTTCATGGTTGTGGGAGTTGATGTTTGTGGGAGTTGATGGTTGATGGAGTTCATGGTTGTGGGAGTTGATGGTTGTGGGAATTGATGGCAGATGGTCACACAGATATTATTTCATAAAATCCACATCAAAGTATTTTTCAAAAAACTTTAAAAAACCAGATTTTTGCTTCGGTGTCAAATCCGAAAGCTTCCTCAGAGAAAGTGGCCACAGTTACAACTTAGAAAGAAGTGAATATGGCATTTCCCCAGCAGCGTCGTCGTGGTTACCAAATTTCGTCAAACTCCCAACGACATCAGTGAGGTGGAAATAAGTTTTTTTCGCGGGGAAATGTAGCATGTGGCGTCGGTTCAGCCTCTTTCTAATGTAATCAAAGTAAAATGCTGTGCAAATGTTGATAGCATTACTCTGCAGGGCGCACACAAACAAACAACAGGAACATTTGCGGGTCGCTCCAGCTGTGCCATATTGGAAACGCCATTTTACGTGTGGGATAATGGCCCCTGCTTGGAAACTTATCAGTCTCAATACACATGCGCAACAAGACAATTAAGGCATAGGAGGAATTGGAGCGATGGATTGTTTAATGTCCAGATGCGACGCAGAGAAGTGCCAACCCCCAAAAACAGGCAGGAAATGTCCCAAATCTACTTCTAGTCATTTGAAAAAACGTATGTACGGTTTTTATACTTTAAGACAAGATCCAATGAGTTCTTATTGACAATTTATAATATAATAGTTGTTTAAATCCAGGGTTTTGATATTAAAAGTGCAGAGCTGAAAGTTTACAGACCCAGGCAGGAATGTCAAGAAAATGTAGATTTACTGTATATGAATGGATAATGGACTCACAATTTTGAAACTACCAGAAGCTCCCAGAGCCGTCGATTTGACTGCTCTCATTCCAACCAATGGGATTCTGAGAAATGTCCTCAAATATATGGTTGTTTTTTTTTGACCTTTACTTTTACTAAGTGCTAAAACTGGTTAATTAACCTTCTTGGCGCCAAAGTAGCACAATTGCTCCTAAATCCATGACACTTTCTATACAGTGGCTTGGCTTCCTACAAACACATACTTATATTTTTCATAATTATCTGACTACTTCTTACACCAAAAAACGCTGGCGCCTAAAGGGTTAATTTAACTTGAAATACAGAAAAAAGCTTGTCGATTGGTTTTCGGATGCTAACTATGCTAACTGGTAGCAAGTAAACATTATGTTGCCATGGTAACTACTGATACTGGTCTGCTCTGGGAGGTAAAGGTAGAACTGGTCTAATTTCAAACAGTACAAGAAAATTTCATAAAAACAATGAGATGGAAATAAGCTAAACAAATTATTCTGGTTCCTGCACATTTCCTGGGCTGCCTTGCATGAACAGCTGTTACTGACAATGGCAATGCTAATAATTCTGATTCTAAAAGAACCCATCACCTTCGTTTGTCCAGGTTTTCTCGCTCTTGATCATCGCCATCGGGGTCTACGCCAAAATCCAGAAAGCAACAGGTTTGTACAAGAATCTCCCTCCACCGTGATCTCAGCTGACGATCCTCCACACTTTATCAACATTTATTTACTTTATCAACATTTATTTACTTTATCAACATTTATGGACTTTGGTCTCCGCCCCTTTATGGACCAATGGCTCTATGTGTAAAATAAATACGAGTAGGATAAGCAACAGGTATGAACCGGAAATAAACTATCGCCATGGAGACTCCGAGATGTGGAGAAGAAACAATGAATGAATACATGAACATAAATGAATTAGATGAATGAAAAAAAAAGAATAAAATACAAAAATTACACACAAAAATCGAATTAAATGGAATTAATAAAACAAATGAATTTGAATAAAATGTTTATTTAAAACAAATACATACAAATACAAATACATTGATCAAACACATAAAATACAATAAAATAAATACAATTCAATTAAAAAAATAACTTAAAAAATGCATCGTATATAGCATTTTATTTGGACACTTAAAGACGCTTTACATGTCATTATTCTCTCTCTCCAAACACGGTGATGATAAACTACTGTAGCCACAGCTGCCCTGGGGCACACTGACAGAAGCGAGACCACCAGTCTGTGCCATCGGCCCCTCCCACCACCACCAACCATTCACACACACACCAGACTCATTCTAATGTGGGGGAAGTGTCTTGCCCAAGGACACAACCACACTTTGGCACTTTACAGCCGCAGCCGCCCCACTGTGGCTGGCGTCCCCAGATTCAGGGAACAGCATTCCCAGTGGGAGTTGATGGAGAGTGTCCTGTGGTGGGCTCGAACCCACGACCTTCAGGCTCAAGGCCAATGCTCTACTGAGCCACTGTAATTTTAGTAAATCCAATACATTTCAATAATAAAGGCAGTATGACACAGCTCTGATTCGTCTGCAGACACGGTGCGGGACACGTTCCTCATTGACCCGGCTGTGATCCTCATCGTCGTGGGAGTCGTTATGTTCTTCATCACCTTCTCCGGCTGCATCGGAGCGCTCCGAGAGAACATCCGCCTCCTGAAGACCGTAAAGCGCATCACCAGTTTACAACCATTCGTTCCCACCGCAAATGAAACGTGACTTTTTATGTGTTTGATTTCATGTTTCAGTTCTCTTTGAGCTTGACTTTGGTCTTCATCACACAACTGGGGATCGCGGTCCTGGGGTTCTTCTATTCGGATCAGGTATTTGCCGCCGTTGGCTTTTCCACGACCCTCAGAACGCTATTATGAAACACGATTAGTCACATTATGCAGATTATTCAAGTTATCGCATGAGCCACAAGTTTCCCAAAAGCCACTGATTCTTATCCATAGATGGAGATCATTGTCGTACAGATGTGACAGATGTGACAGTACAGCTGATGTAAAAGAAAAACAATGTGAAAACTAATATTTATAAAAACCAACCTGTTTTAAGAGCTATTACTATTTTGGTGTGGTTTCACAGACTGGTGCTTCAGCCTTAAACTTGGTACAGAAGTATTGCCAAACAATACAATACAATGATCTTGGATGCACTGAAGGAGAGGAAGAGGAAAGGAGAATCATCATCTCCATGTACACTGCAAAAGTGATGAAAACAAGTCAAAAATTGTTCAAATTTGGACAAATATATTTTAATTTGAGCACATTCTGACTGGCTGGACACAAGATTTGCCAATGGGACAATCCTAATTATGTTGTTTTAAAAAGATACAAGAGATGTCCCTTGGAATGAGAAAAACAGGTTTTGAAAAAAGACTAAATGATTTTGTCCCAGTGGAAATATCTTGTTTAAAGTCTGAATGTACCAAAGAAATAACTTATTACCTCATACTTTACCATGTTTTGCTCAGTGTATCTTGTAGATATAAAAAGAATGTAAAGTTTTCCAACTGTATCCATAACCGTTTGTTCTTTCCGACCCCGGAGACTCTGGGGCCTCTGCTTTTCTCTCCCTCCTCCCTCAGTCTGGTTCCACATGTAGAAAGTCTGGAAGAGTCGCCTTTGGCCCAAACAGCAGGAATAATGAGTCCAAAGTCAGAGATGTTTCCAACCTGTGCCATTAGCCACGGCTTTGTTCAGCGCAGAATGTGCTGTTAACAACTGGGCCCAGACGAACCCCTGCAGAATATCTGACTCTGTTTCATTTGGGAGAATCTCAAATGTGAGACACAATCACTGCGTGCTCTCAGTGTGACCGTGTTATTACAGAGAATAGCCTGCGCCACATGTTTAGAGATGTACTTTGGGTGGAAAACAAAACATTGAGCCATGAAACATTGGGAAATGAGCAACAAAGCATGAGAACATTCCAAATATTATGTTCAAAGCTAATGTTGAATATTGCAAAACATGTTCTTGCCAAGTACCTTGATATTTGGCTGTTTTATCCTCCATCATAGACTACCAGTATCTCGCAACCCCCTTCCAGGAAGCTCCCCAAAAAACATGTGAAAAAGGAAATAATATATTGAGTATTTGAGAATGTATTATTCACATACTCACAACTAAATGTAAATGCTTTTGTGCACCAGTAACATATGTTGATAGATTATGTGCACTTTAATGTCCCTGTAGGGACATTTGCCCCCTGCAATTGGTTAAACAGTCTGTCAGGAGCAGTGGTCACTGTAGTACAGCACCCGGGAACCCATCTCCAGCTTGGTCAGGACTGAAGCTGGGGGAATTACCTATTGTGCATGTTTTTAGTGGTAAGGGAAACCGGAGCACCCGGATGAAACCTATGCAGACACTGGGAGAACATGCAAACTCAGAATGACCCTGTTCGGACTGGGATTTAAACCCAAGACCTTCTTGCTAAAAAGCGAGATTGCTAACCACTCAGCCACCGTGCCACATGACTGTTGATAGTAACAGTACCAGAGCTCAACAATATATCAACTCATTTTCCCAGGAGCATTTAAAGGAGAGCTCAAAAGGAAGTGACCACGGACCCCTCTGGCTCAGTAACATGTCTGTGCTCAAAGCTAGCGCCGGTTAGCTTATGCTGAAAACTAGCTTCGTCCACATTATGGGTGACGTCAGCACTCGGTCAGTCCACTCCTAAAATACAATCTACAGTGTGTTTTCTATTCAGCACAGCATATGAGCACCTGGGCTGGCAAACACTTTGTATTTCATGGTCAAAAGATAAAAATAATCTCATGAAAGCATAAAGCCGAAACATCATAAATAAATAACATTTTGGACATCTGAGCTGAGTGTGCAATGCTACCCTGCTTTCTGAAATTTTGATTCTCGCATCTGGATCTCATTCATGCATTTTTTGGTGTGCAATACCTGCTCTTTCTACATTCTATTCAAAAATAACATTACACTGCTGGTTCTAGAAAGTCTACAGATATACAGTATACCTCTCCCCTTCTGTCATTGTTTGCATGTTCTCCTCATAAAAAATATGGCAGCCTATGAATGTTTGAGTGGTTTTAGCTTGAGCAGAAATTACTTTTCATCTGTGTGATTTTGAAAATAGATCAGATCACATTTGACGGTGACTTCATACAGAAATGTGACAGATTCCAAAAGCTTCAGATACTTTTCCGGCCAGTGTAAGAGATCAAACATTATAGCTTTATGATCCATTTCCTGAGTTACAGTTGAAGCAGTGCCAACATCAGCACATGGAGAATGTTTCCTTCAGCTGCTGCAGTGTTTAGAGCCACAGAGCCCAGAGAATGAGGCACCGTTGTTGAGAAATGTCTGCAATTTCTCCACAAGGTTCTTATGTAGTCACACCGCATAATGTGTCTTATTCAGCAGAAAGGAAAAGGTCAAAGGTTACGATAAAACCAAGCAGGTGTCTCTGGTCATACCTCTACTTTGAGCTCGTTTTTCACTCTCTTCTTTTCTTCTGCGTTTATTGGCTGCACCTGACGTCTTTGACTGCCTTTTCATGATAACGTTGACAAAAAACACCAAACGTTGACCAAAAACACGTCCACCTTTCTTTCACACTTTACAGGGACGCGCTGGCTGCCCCTCCTCCACATACTCACCGTGGCGTGACAAGAGTGCAACAGAGTTCAATGATGAGGATTTTTATTAAGTTTATTGTATACATAAATTGTTTTTTTCAGTCTTACTTGATTGGAAACACCCAACAGAATAATAAAAAAAGGGAGACGTTCTTTTTTTTTTTTTTTTACTGCAATTGGGCGCCCCATCCTGCAGATGGCGCCCCAGGCAATCCTGCTCTAGTGTCTGAAATTAGACATTGGCATCACTCCAGACAATCACAACTAACCGTCAGAGGTGGCAAGTGTTTTTACTCAAGGCGCTGTACGTAATATTAATATCTATTTAGCTATTCAACATGAAACACCATTAAACCTCAATGTAATGTCATTCATCTTCTGATTGACTTCTCCTCTTCAAACAGTCCCCACGGCAACATGATTCACTGAGACCCTCAAAGTGTTGACTCTCAAACACTGTTTACTTTTGAAAGATCTCCACTTGGTTTTGGCTGAGACTAGAGAGAAACCAGAGGAATCAGAGAGAGACCAGAGGTATCAGAGAGAGACCAGAGGTATCAGAGAGACCAGAGGAATCAGAGAGAAAGCAGAGAGAGAAACCAGAGGTATCAGAGAGAGACCAGAGGAATCATAGAGAGACCAGAGGAATCATAGAGAGACCAGAGGAATCAGAGAGAGACCAGGGGAATTAGAGAGAGACCAGAGGAATCAGAGAGAGACCAGAGGTATCAGAGAGAGACCAGAGAGAGAACCCATAGAGAGAGAGTACACATCTCTTCATATCTTCAACAATGGAGTCTGTGAAGGACCCACGGCTGCAGCTGCTGAGGTCACATCTGCAGGAGACTTTGACCACAGTGGAACAGTGGATTCTGGATCTGGTGGAGGGGTCTCTGCAGGGACTGGAGCCTCTGAGTCCAGCTTCAGGTGTGGTCCTCTTCTATACACAACACAAAAGCTCTTCTAGATCTGACAAACTGTAGGAAAACTATGTAATTGACTTATTGTAACTTATCGTAGCTTAGCACGTCAGAGTCTGGGTTAAAATCATCTCCATTAGAGGAATATTGAACTGGCTATGGTCATGGAGACTGTAGAGTTCTTAAGTTCTTCTTGTACCCATATTTACTGATGTCCTTCCAGTCCAGTCTTGTAAACATTTCTCTCTCTACAGATGCAGTTGAACCTGTAGCTCCTCATTCAACTCAAGAGCAGGAGTTTGTGCTCAGACCCAGTGACGACGAGGAACAGAACAAGTCTTTGGTGAAGATCAAAGAGGAACCTGGAGCAGACTGTGTTCAAGCGACGGACATGGTTCTCCAGGAGGATGCTCCGAACCCTGAACCTGAAGGACCTGGACCAACAATAGACTCAACATGACAGAGGCAGAAGTGACAGTGAAAGGCAGCGTGCAGAGAGGAAGTCTGTGGGACACTGTTCCAAACCAAGTGGTCTCTCACAAGTCACAAACGTGTCCACACTGGAGAAAGACCTTATCCCTGCGACGTCTGTCCAAAGTCCTTCAAACACAACTGTGATGTCAAAAAACACAAACTCATCCACACTGGAGAAAGACCTTTTACCTGTGACGTCTGTCCGATGTCCTTCAATCAGAGCGGCAGTCTTAAGACCCACAAACTCATCCACACTGGAGAAAGATCTTATCCATGTGGCGTCTGTGAGAAGTCCTTCAGAACCAGAAGTAAAGAAAACCGACACAAAAAAATTCACCACCAGAGAAGCTTCAGTGGAACAGAACCAGAAGAAGGAGAGTCTACGGAGAGCGGAGAGACTCAAGCAGACGTCACTCCATCTGCTGATTTTCAGATGATTGAATAAATGGTAGTAAATGGTAGTAATAAATGTTTTCAAGCGCAGATAAAACCTGGTGTCTGTGTTCTGTTTTGAAGATGAGATGTTAGGTTCTTATAAGCTGTGCTAAAACATACAGCATACAGTGTCTTTTCATAGATAGATACATACTTTACTGGATCCTATTTCAACGGAAAAGTAAAATACAATTCTTTAAATCAGTCTTGACATTAACCCAAAAATAATGGAAAGGATGACACTTTGAATTCAGAGAGAAAGAGATGACATTGTAATTCATGGGTTTTATATATACTTATTTTTTGGACAGTCAAAGACGCAAATAACAGTAGAACAGTTGTGAGTAGTGTATATAATGTAAAATAAACTAAAGAA